TCTCTATCAAGGGGTGTGGATTACTTATCTGCAACATTCAAAATTGAATAAACAAGATATTGCTTCGTTGCTAACGTTCGGCCTATTTATTTTCTTCAAGACCACTTTGCATAATTATGGTTTCTGTCTTCCAGAGGACAATTTGTCACTTCACTTATTCCGCCTTTTCTCACCACATCCTGAACGGAGACTTCTTCGTTTGAGTCATATTTTTATCCTTTGGGTATGGTGGTTATCTCACTCAAAATATACTCATTTTCGAAGGGTAATATTAAAGCCGTGAGCTATTCTACGTGGAATAATTTTCCCCCAACTACATTCAATCCGTAATTATACATTTATAATTCCTCCGGCCTGTTTTACCATTTATTTATGTATTTGAAAAGAAGTGGTGGCAGCCTGGTTTCTGAGATATTAGGTTGTGATCAAGTCCGCCCTCTCACCGTGCAGTTAGCTGATGCAGGCTTCCCAATCCTTACTAATTGTATCTGGGCTCCTCCAATCTATAGCGACCTTCAGTAAATATCTTTCCATACCAAATGGGCCGCTTTGCCGTGTGACTCGTCCTTAATTTTTACCGAACCCAGAAAATAACGAGGGCGGCTGGTTTGGGGCTCATTTTTAAAGCTTTCTACCGTCGACATTGGCTCGACCGCGTTTTCATCCCGATATGGACTGCAACATTATAATCCCTTGTCGCTCCGTGCTTCATGTCAAGTAGGTAGCTCTTATAAATCCCAAAGACAATCAAATAGCCTTACCCCAGCTCTGCCGGATTATCATTTCCCATAATAGAATCACGGGACCCAAATTCCACGCTCTAAGTGTGGCTGGGCATTGATAGGTTCGGATCCAGATTGTTGCATCATAAATACCTCAATGTAATAATAATTCGACTCCTTATTTGCGCAGCCAACAGTTTGGCGATGCGTCACTATCCTAGTATTTCCAGTTTTACACGCAAATAAAAATAGTCGAAAAATCTACGTGCCTCGAAACGGGGCCAAAATGCTTTCGCCCTCAGGCAGAGTTAAATAGGCTTCTGGGTCATTCCATTTGTATCTGAGAGTATCCGTATATTCGCCTAAAGTCTCGGTACATTGAACGACAACCGGGATTCTAAAATGTTATTTTGCTGTATCGGGCCCCTCGTTAGCCACAGGACGGGCTAGTAAACTCGAACGTAAAATACTCCTCATTTTTTGTGTAGTCTATACTGAAGAGGTCGAACGACCCTCCCGAGCTACCGCCATAAACGCAGTTTATCCGGTCGGTTAGGTGGCAGAGGCAGGTTGATCAGGCATTGACAACACAACGCAGAGGTGATAGCCCGACAAGACGGATAGAACTCTCGGTTATGTTAATTCGCATAACATTAAGCAAAGCAAGACCACAGTGAAATAAGCGGGCCTGATCGCGCAATTTAATTTCTCGTCACCTAGCTTCATGAAGGTTTTCAGACCCAGTGCAAGCTCAAAGAGCACCCTCGACATGATTCGGTACCAATTCTCCACAACCATCGGTGGTAGTGGCCACATGCTCTTCAAGCCAAGCCTCACAATTAAAACCACAATGAGAGTCTGGATAGAACTAGTCACTGCATGTCTAGTGGCGTCGTCGATTTTGATGACACTAGGCTTCGATTGTCTCGAAAGCCATATCTTTTCCGACCCAGCGACACTCGTGGTTGAGGTGGGGTTGCTAGTTAACTCGATCGATTTTATTAAGAACCCTGATGTGAGGTGAGATCGAAATTAAAGACAGCTCTGGATGGAGAGAGTTAAAGAATGCAATTCAATTGCATTGTGAGGTCTAAAAATGTCATCGTCGGTTGGGTTTTAATCAGATTATCCATACCGGGTTCCTCGACAGTAAGAGCAAAGCAGATAAAATGTCTGCATAAATGGAGAAATAAAAAT